AAGTAAGCCTTGTGCCCTTAGGTTATCAATTATAGGTAATAATCCTTTTTTAACTTCAGGTTCTAAAGGATATTGTCTCTGGTTAGGCAAAATAGTAGAACGTCTGAGATGTATCTGTACTGGAGCAGCTGTTAATGCCCTACCTATTTTGCCTTTAGTTGCCCGAACATCAGGCTTTATTTCTCTCTCCACGAGGGAAAGATAGTACACCTGACCTGGGTGCATATATATTACAGTATTTAAACAAGATAAAATATCTCTCCCCAAGAGGGGGACTGGACTTTCAGGCATTATCAAAAAGGAATGTGAAAAAAGAAAGCCACCCCAGTTACGGTCTAAGGGGTTGTGAAAAATAGTGAATTACCTCTTCTCCGGTGACCCCTTTCACAGAGGTATGACAGCTGGAAGGAAGGCCAGGACTGAAAAGAACCGAGAGACTTGCACCAGTATCCCACAATAGGCTGGTTTCTTTTCCCTCTATAGTCATCATTACCCAGAGCTCCTCCATGGAGATGACAGTCCGGCCAGAGGGAGAGGGCAGAGAGTGCCCCGGGGCCCTTCATTCTTACTGGACCAACTGGTAGGATGGATCTGAACTCTAGGGCCTTCACTTCAGAGGGCAGTCCAACCTGCAGTGGTCACCTTTGCAGTTAGCGCATGGCCCAGGGAGCTTCTTAGGGCAGTCCCTCTTAAGGTGGCCTGGCGTCTGACAGTGGTAGCGGATGAATGTAGTCATCGAGTTCTTGGGGCCCCAAGAATCAGACTTAGGGTCTGTTTCTCTTAGTGCTGCAGCAAAGGCAGCTGCTTTTTCTCTGTCTCTTTGTTTTCTCTCCTTGGCTTTCTCCTCATCACAGTTATAAAACACTGAGGAGGCAATTTTTACTAACATCAAGTGAGCTATCTGGCGCAAAAGCCATTTTTGTAGCTTTTTTCTAATATGTGGGGCTGACTAAGTAATGATCTTTAAGAATAATTTGTCCCTCTGCTGAATTAGGATCTAGGGAAATATGCTTTACTAATGCCTCTTGTAAGTGATCTAAGAAAGCAGAGGGGTGTTCCCTTTTTTCTTGTTGAACCGCTGACAGTTTAGAATCATTAAATGGATTAGCTCTTATCCTTCTTAGACCTTCAAGAACACATGTCTGAAAATGTCTCCTACTCTAATCTCCCATATAGTTGCTGGGCCAGGAGGGATCTTGGTTAGGGACAGCTTGGGCTCCAGTGGGAACTGGTAGTTGCCCTGACTGTCTTTCTTCTGGCCTTCTAAAATTAATAATATGGTATTCATCTCCAAATGCAACAGCAGCCCGTAATGCTGCCTGTTTTGCATTAGAGGTCAATGTTTGATTTAAGAGTAACATTGCATCTTTCCAACTAGCTCGTAGGTCTGAGTGAGGCCTCTAAATACCTTATTGTACTTCTCAGGGTCATCTAGAAATTTTCCAAGATCTAACTTTATCTGTTTTAGGTCACAGAGAGAGAAAGGTATATGAACTCTGGTAGTTCCAAATGGTCCATTTATGGGGCTGGGGATTTAGCTCAGCAGCACAGCGCCTGCCTGGCAAGCACAAGGTTGTGAGTTCGATTCCCAGTACCAGAGAAGAACCAAAACAAACAAAAAAAAGGTCCATTTACTTCTTGTAATGGATATTGTCCTTGAGGAGCTTGGCTAAACTCAGCTAAGGATGGGTAGAGGCCTGGATTACAGCTGGTCTAGAAGCCCCATCCTCTAGCCTAGAAGGACAAGTAGGGGAAACCTTAGGTTCCATGATGGTAGGTGAGGCTTTGATTAAGGCTCCAAAGACTGGGGAGGAGCAGTCTCAGGCTCTAGGATAGTGGATACCCTGAGTCTGAGGGTCCCATTTCCCTGTGACTCACTTTTACATTTTGAAACTAAATAAGGACTATTTCTTAATGCAAAGAAAATTTGAACATAGAGCACTTCTGACCATTTTCCTACCTTTTTACAATATCTTTCTAGTTGTAAAATAGCATCATAATTAATACTTCCCTCTGCATTCCATTTCGGCTCTAGGGGATAGGTAGGCCACACACACATGCAGAAAAATATTAAACAGCTCTTTTTCAACGTGTAAGGCTCAAACATCTTCCAATGTTTAATGAAGCAACTGTGAATTTCCTATGTCTGTAAAACAAAAAGAAACAGTTTGGGTGTCCCCTCCCTATCTCTAATTGATCCTGGTACCCTCAAGGCATCCCTCAAGTAGATTCCACTCCAAGGCAGGTGGATGCCATCTGGATAGAGCAGAGGACAAAAGCTGGTCAGCCTATTCACCTTCGAACTAACGCAGTTTTACCCTCCCAGAAAACTCATGAACTGTGCCTTTACTCCTCTTTGGACAGGTATAAGCATAAGTTACAATTGATCTGGTGACAGGAATGTCTAAAAAGGAAGCGTATCTTTGTAATAAACTGTTGCTTTTTATTCTTTGGAAGAGGGCATATGTAAAAAGGCGAGTTGGAAATAATTAAAGTATTTTCGAGCTACAAAGGAGATCACCTCTAGATAGAACTGACAATTGGGTGGAGGAATTTTGCCCCATGAACTAGGGCAAAGAAGTCTCCAGACATTTGGTTCAGTAACTAATCACCTAGGCAACCTTCCCCAGCAATAGGACAAGACTATGTTTTATTTAAACTTTGAAGCTCACAGGTTAAACTTCTATTTACCACCTAGCAATCACATTTAAATATTGCTAAAGGCAAGTTAGTTAAGGCTGACAAGAATCCCTTTTTACTTAGCGTGTGTAAGGCACAAATGTGAATCACTTCCCTGCTAGCCCTGTGAAATGTAAATTGTCACAAGCTGCCTCAGCCTTGTTTCTGAAGAGCGACTCTACTGAAAAGCTTATGGAGAATTCCTAGTCTACCGGTAGAGAGAGATAGGTGTGATAGATAAGTGGAGATTTTTCAGTGGTCAGGAGCCAGTTTCCACCGAGGAAACTTTGGGTATCTGCTAGAGAGTAGCCCTGGCCATGACCCTTCAGTTGTTCTCAGTTTCTATTGGCCCACACAACCAGAGATCAGTCTCCAGAAAAGAATCCAGCTGTCTCTCTGGTCAACATTCCATCAGCCATTGGCTTCGATGGGGGTTCACCAAAGAGATGCTGGGGAAACCTGTCCTCTGCTTTAAAGAGTGGCAGCTGCTCTAAGAGCATTTAACTAGCTGGCAGAGTGACCACCATTTGTCAGAATTTTACAAGGGATAGTTAAAAGCCTGAACAGATTATCTAGCACTGGACCTAGGAGAAGAGGGAAAGTTAGAGATCCTCCATTAAACTAAATATGTTTTGGTCCCCAAAGTGTGCTGCTTTCAGAGATAGCTCTTTCTGGTGTCACCCAGAAGTCAGTTCTCTCCACTGTGCTTCAGGTTCAGCCTCCCGAGGGAGACCTGCCCAGAACACTAAGCTGGGACATGGCTTTTATGTGTGTTCTCCTGGATGGGCAAAATTCTGATTTCTCATTTGACCCATAGATGGGGTATGTGTACTTTCTCTAAGGTGACTTCCCTCTCTTTGGCATTAACAAATGCTCATCTTCTATGGGCCTAACTTAGATGGAACAGTCTAGAGTTAGTTCTTTTTCTACATCTGAGCTAGATTTAAAAGGACCCATCTTACAGTTTCTATCAAAGTTCGCTAGGAGCATTCTAACATCACTCTCCCTAGCTAAATAACGTCAAGCAAGGAAAACCAGTACATTTAGCAACTAGTTCAAACACATCAAAAGCAACATATACCAGAACAAAACAGGAATAAAATGTCCCATTAAAGAAATATCATAACCTTATTACCTTGCCGTGTTCTAACTTAGATTTATCAACATTTTAACAAAACTATGTAAGAGACAAAGTATAAGTAATTATAAGCAACAGGCAAAAGCATAACAAAATTTGAAGCATAAAAATTTGTTACCTAAATGCATCCCAATTCAGAGTCTGTGAAACAAAAGCAAACTCTTACCTCCGTCCAAGGATCTTGGTGGGGACCTCCAAAAGATACGGGAAAATAAAAATTCCAACCTGAACAATATCTGGGACAAGTTCGTGTTCTCTAAAATCAAAGAATGAATTTTAGGAACAATGGAGGTTAAGAGCAGAATATATTTACTGAGGGGAAAAAAAGCTTCTGTTCAAGAGAGGGACAGAAGGGGGCCCGAGTGGGTTGCCCCCGACTCTGTCTTTTCTAGGGACGTTTATAGTGCAAAATTATGAGGTGAGGTGGGTTAAAGGTAGGGAAAAAATGGGAAATCACAAGGTGGGCATGAGGTAGCACAAAACTATGATCAGCCAATAAGATTACAAGTATAATTGTTCAGGTAAAATTGAGTAATCAATTTTTTAAAAATGGAATCAAATGGAGAAGCGAGCCCCCCAACAAGCAGGCATGGATACAGAACAGGGGCTTTTCCTGTAAGGGGTTGGGTCAGTGACTCTTCAAGGTGATTGCTACCTATTTAAACTATCAATCTGTCCCTGATGTTTGCACCTAGGGAGGTATGTGGGTGCATTTGTTTAGTCCTTTTTGTCTTGAGGTCTGGCCCACAGGTATCTTATCTTGTTTTTCATGTTGGCTCCTTAGAGGGTCTGGCCCTGTATGGCTGCCTATAATATTTCTGTCTAACTCAGCTGCCTATAACATCGCCGGGATGGCCCGAGCTGGGGTTCCGAAGTGCTGCTGGCCCCAGCCCAGTGCTGGCTCCCAGATTGGGGGAGGCGGCGCCAACCTCCAGCTGCCGCCGCCATCTTCCTCCATCCCTCCGCCCCCCACAGTTCATGTTAAATCTGTTAACCTATAAAGTAGTCATTTCAATCTTCAGCTTCTGAAGAGAGCGAAATACATGTACACCCTTAGACCTTTGCAGATTTAACATACCATCACATACTTTTCATGACCATTACAATGTCTTTGTTTTCTGTGGTGTAAACATTTCATCTTAGAGATAACATGGTGTTTTTGGTATATTTATTTTTGTTACAGTATGGAAAATGGTAATAATGGTTATCATAAAGATCATTTATATGGTGTTCACAACCCAGTTATGACAAGGTAACGTGAAGCCTGGAAGTGCATGCCTAACTTGTGATGAATCAGCTCATTCCCATAATCTGCCCCTGAGCCTTCTGCATGCTGCTGACCCCTCACTTGTGCCTGCCTGCAGATTCTCTGTTTGGCTGTCTGCAGTCACCCTACATAGCATTCCATGATGCCATAAGCTTGCATTTTCTTATTTTTTATTTTTATTTTTTTGGTTTTTCTCCGGTACGGGGAACCGAACTCACGACCTTGCGCTTGCCAGGCAGGCGCTTTTGCCGCTGAGCTAAATCCCCAGCCCCAAGCTTGCATTTTCAATGGATTTCTTAGCAACAGAATTGTGCAGCAACTAAAGTTTGCTTGTATCTTAAAATGCTATGTATGGCTCATCCATATCATTACAGATTAAATGCATGCACACCACCTTTAACTTAGCATTTCTCTGCACTAAGTAAACTTAAGTATTTGTACTTTTCCAGACCTACCCTTTCTTCCTTCCTGCCTTCTTCTTTTCCTCCCTTCCTCCCAGCAAATTAGCTATAATCAGCCAGGGAAAGAGCTCCAATCTTTCCTCCAAACTCTTTATAAATTTGCATTTTCTGGAATCAAGGAGGTTCCTGTGGTTCTGGATGTGTGCCAGGTAACTCTGAGGATTACCTGTCAGGTGTCTTCCCTCCAAAACTCAAGACATACATGTCAACGAGGGACTTTTCTACTAAGACAAGGTGGGACAGGGTGCACAAAGCCCAGCAGGGAGCCATCTTCTTTAGAGGGTGTGGTCCTTCCCCTGTCCACACAACTGGTCTCAAGCCAGTGCTCTTTGACCCCTCCCCACAAGGGACATCTCAGGCAGGTGCAAAGCTGTGAGTCCAACATCAGTGCTAGGTTGATCACTTTGTCCTGGAAGCCCCATACTCTGCATGGGAGACATCCAGTTGAAAGGTCACCATCAGAACCCTTAGTTTGGGCTGCTCTAGGTGTTTCTATATAGAGCCTCCCAGCCTAAGTGGGGGCATCTTTATCTTAGGTAGGGTTGCCTAGTAACAGCTGGTGCTGTACCATTGTCAAGTTGCAAGAGAAACAGAACCAGAAAGGTATTAACGTTTGTCTTTTCAGAAGAATAAAAGATTTTTCCTAACTTACAACTTGAGCATTATAGAAACTTCAGAACTCTTCATGTGCCAGTTAGGGAAAAGGAAATTGTCTGAATATCTTTGGGCTGCTATAACACAATAGTATAAACCTGGTGGCTGATAAATGACAGAAATTCCTTTCTCACAGTTCTGGAGGCGAGGAAGTGACAGTCATTGTGCTGTTGGGGTCAGGGTCTGATGAGGGCCATCTTTCTCATAGCACCTGCTCTCTGTGTCCTTTCATAGTGGAAGGGCCAAGCTAGCCTCCGATCACCTTCCCAAGGACCCCATGTGCTAACACCATCATCTTGGTGCTAAGGACCTCAACTTATGAGTTTGAAAGGCATATAATTGTTCAGACCACAACAGAAACGGTGATAGGCAAGAACAGAGACAATGGTGTTCTGAAATGGCAAATGGATCTCATCTCACTTCTTGCAGTGCACTAGACATGGTTGCTGAGGTGCTGTGTTGTGAGATTGATCCAGGAGAAGTAGCTGCAGGGAGAGTAGACATTACCATGGCCCATGTTATGTACTGACCTGCCTTTTCATGGGGTGGCACAATTCCTGGATGACTTAGATTTAGGGACTGAAATTTTCAAGATGAAAAGAGCTCTTCATTACCTATTTGGTCTCCAAATCAATTCTCCTAGGACTTGGTTGAACCAGTTTCTGGCACTTGCTTCCTGGCTGTGAGGTCTCGAGATATCCTCTATCTAGCAAGAAATGTCATTGTGTTGTGGATAAATTAGGACTGTATCAGAAGATACTCAGCACTGAGGAATTTTGGAAAGCAAACAGCTTTATTTATGCTAGTGGACTGGTGGGAATCTCAGTTCCAAATCACCAGCCCCGTCTTGGGGTTAAACAGTCACTTACATAGGTTGTCAGAAAGTAGTACAAAAGGCAGATAACAGGACATTGTACAAGTAGTTACACATTGTCTTAACCATATATTGCTAGGCAGATTTATTTTAAGCAAGTTAATTGAAGGGTTACTATTATATAACAGGGAGGTCAAGGCTAGAGTGAGCAGGAAGAATTGATCATTGTCTAAGACCGAGCCAGGTCTGTTTCTAGGTGATAAGACCTTGAAACAAGCAAACAAGATGCACTGTCTGGCTGAGGTACACTTACCTTACAAGCTGTTGCTGGTGATGGAATGCCAAGGCTAGATGAGCTTTATTATTCTCTAATTATGGGAAGTGACTAGTCTGTTTTGATTCATCCTTGAGTCCAAGGTCTAGTTACAAGTTTTAAAATTGCTTTTACAACTGAGGCTTCTTGGAAGATATTGAAGAGAGAAACAGACATGGGTGGGAGAATATTATAGGTCAGGTCTTCTTGCAGCAGTGCTGAGACAGAATTCAGGTACAAGATGATTATGAGACCCCACAGTTGTGCAAGGAAGTCCAAGTGGGCCTGCCAAAGCCTCAGCCCTTGATGGAGAGCTCCTGAAGCAGGAAGGAACGGGTGGATCCCAAGGACCGCCAACGGAATGACAGATTCCCTTCTCTGCACATGCTCTGGCCCCATGGGTTTAGTACAAAGTTCTGGGAGCCCCTGACCTGCATGATGCTCCAGGCTTTGGGCCGGGTGGGGGTTTCTTTACATAAAGGCAAAGTGCATCCGTGACTTAGCAGATGCTGTCTCCTGGCCACCTCCTGTGTGGGTCAGGTTGCCCAGAGCAAATGGTGATGGAGACCTCAAGAGTGAACCCAAACTAAGTCAACAAGGGCCGCCAACTGTGTGACATCTTCTCTGAGAGAAACATGTCCTGGCTGTCACGTTTCAGCCTCTTTTAGTATTCCAGGGCCTGAAAGAATAGGTCCTCCAACTGCCCCATTCCAAGGGCTTCTGGTCCCTGTCATTTCAGAATTTTGAGAAATTGGTTTTAGTTGCTCAGATTGGTTTGTGTTGCTTGTTTTGTGGCTCTCAGTTCTCCAAAGCACCCCTTTTTTCAGGAGGGGGTTGGGTAGACCATCTGGAAGTCCCCAGGAGAGACAGCTGGGCAAGAGACCCAGGGGTGCAGTTGGTGTGCCCAGTATCCCTCACCTTAGAAAGCAGAGGCGGATGGTCTTTAGAGATGACACCAGAGCCTGCTGTCCTCAGAGTGTGCGGTTCAGGCTCAGTGCTGAGGGCGGGAGCAGGATACCGAGCCACCCTGCCTACACCCTGTACCCGGAGCCCCCAAGTCCCTTTAGTAAAGAGTTTGTTTCTTTATCAAGAGTGTAAGAGAGAGAGGGAAAGGAAGCTCACAGCACTGAGCAGGTGTGATTATTTTCCCACTATCAGTTATCCCTTTGGAGGATCGCCTGCCTGCAGGAGCTTGGGTGCCCTGCATGCCCATCCTCGCTGCCCTTGGCTCTCCCAGCAGAGCACCTGCTGCAGGGCAGCCTGAGATTCAAGGGGCTGAGATCGGCTCAAAATCGTGGTTGGGGAACTGTGCCAAAGCCGAAACTGCACATCTTCCAGACAGAGTCCCTTGCCTGCCAGTCCTGCTTGGGTGTCGAGGCCATGATTGCATAGAACCTTTACAGGACAGCAGAGCTACTACTGATTGCTAACCAGGGAACCACTCAACATGCACAGTCCGCTCTCACACTGTGGACTCAGTTGTGACAAGGTCCCTGCAGAACTTCCATTTGCATCTGCCCTCTGGTCCTAGCAGCAGACTTTAGGAAGCCGCTTGTGGCCCATTCTCTGCCTGCTGATGCATGCGATTTCTCCTAATCTAGGCCCTGACACATGTTCTTAGTGATTTTTTCCACTTCTAACCTTATTGTGACTATATACAGTTCCACTTGTCACAGTTTGTGTCTCTTTACCCTCCTTACCCTTTTTCTAAAAGCAATATAAGAACCAGTTTTACCGACAAGCTTTTTCCCCTGATAAATGGGCAGAGTGTGGTCTGTATTCATCTGCTACCTTAACTCCTCTGCTTACCGAACCACCCACAGCCCCCGGAAGTGTTACATTGCTGTATGTTTTTGTTTTCTAGTGCACCGCGATGTTGATAGGTGATGTTGAAATGGCTTGGGGTAAGTTTCATGCTTTCATATAAAACCATTCATAGCATTATAGCTTTTAGTGTTAGAACATTAGAACATAGCTAATCCTAGTAAGTGGAGAATCTAGGTTAACATATAGGTTATACAGGGCTGGGGATTTAGCTCAGCGGCAAAAGTGCCTGCCTGGTAAGCACAAAGTCGTGAGTTCGGTTCCCGGTACCGGAGAAAAACCAAAAAAAAAAAAAAAAAAAAAAACATATAGGTTATACAGTATGATTTTTCATATATGATTTTTCATATATATGATTTTTCATATATATATGATATTTCATATATGAAATATTTTTCATATATATAGGTTATACAGTATGATTTTTCATATATGATGCACATATATGATTTTTCATATATGAGAATCTAGGTTAACATATAGGTTATACAGTATGATTTTTCATATATGATATTTCATATACAATGACTCTACTTATATGACTGAGTTATACACACCTATGTGTGTATGTATTGTAAAAAATAGGGTACTAGTTATCTATGTACCTTGAATATTATGGGCTTAAAACTTTTTTAAACATTTTAATATTTTATTTTTTTGTTTTTTTTTGTTTTTTTGTTTTGTTTTGTTTTGTTTTTTTTTTTGTTTTTCTCCGGTACCAGGAACCGAACTCACGACCTTGCGCTTGCCAGGCAGGCACTTTTGCCGCTGAGCTAAATCCCCAGCCCCCACATTTTAATATTTTAAAACACTGTTTTGCAGCAAACATTTCTGTCCTTATTTTTTAAAAAGCTATTTCAGAAACTGAAATCATAATGAGATGATACAAATAAAGCTACCCAGGGTGGCTGCCTCTTGAATACGTTTGTATTCTCTCTAGCACTTGGGCTTCCGGCAGGAACCATTTTAGGATCATGCCTTCCCGATTTCTTTAACAATTCAAGGACGGGTTCTAAAATTTTGTTTGATACTCCTTTCAGCCTCAAGACTCCCAAAGTGGAAAGGATCACGGACTTCTGGTGGTGTCTGGGCCCAGAAGAACTTTCCAAATCAGGAGGAACTTTGGTGGCAACACTGACTCGGGCGGCCCCCAGCGTGAGCGTCATTGGTCTGTGGGTGGTACTTTGTTAGGAGTGACACGATCACATTCACAGTCCATCTGTCCATCACTATTTAAGCATACTTCTCCCCTCCTCTGTTTCTTTTCCTTTTGTACTTTTTTTTACGATGAATTTCTATGCAGACACTACAATATATGCATGTTTGTTCCTAACAGACGTATTTCTGTGTCTAACAGCTGTTCGGATGAGATAGCTGAGTTCCTAACTTACTTCCACATGTGGAGTGTGCTAAACACGTACCAGTTTACAGAAAAGATGTATTTTTTGTATAGTCAATTGTATATATCTTCTACCCAGGAAGAGCTTTTTAAACAAATGAGTATATTAGTCTTCTAAATGAGCTTACTATCAGGTCAGTGTTGATTTACTGGTGCTGTTGGAAATAATCCATTTTCGCTAAAAGTGTGTGAAGTCTACAGCATATCTTCCCACTTGGATTTTCACCTGCTTTGTCAATGATTTGTCATGATGTTTAGAAACAGAATACAAAAGCAATCACAGAGAAATCTGCTTGACTTCTCCACTGGCACATTTAAAATGAGAGAGAGAGAAAGAGAGAGAGGGATAGAATATCTCAAGAGAAAGAAATGATGCTCATCAGAAAGTGGAGTTGTGTTAACAGATGCCAATTACAGCGTACGCTTTAATGAAGTTTTTTCATTCAGAAGGATAGGCATCAATTGGAGGGTCATCTGATTACCGGACAGTGAAATGCAAATACACGTCATGGTTCTTAGACTTTGTATCCAACATGAATGAAGCCTTTGAGTTCAGTCACATGAAAGCACAAGTTAGTATGTATTTATTTTGGGATGAGTCAGGTTGGATTTGTTATTTTCAAAAGTGATCAGCAATGAAAAGCTGGTCAAACCAAAGTGAGCTTCTTTTCATGTTCGGATCACAGTCCTGATTCATTTCAATAAAAAGGACTTTGGAAAACATGTGTGTTGCTTCCTTGAGCATACCAAAGACTGCCCAGTTCTAAGTGATGAAACGTGGCTTGCACTACATACTTACTCCCCTGCTCTGCCAGCATCAGAGGACAGAGCTGATAGGAAGTCAGTACTCACCTTTCCTTTGTCTAACTCAGCTGTCTTTATGTCCTGTGCTGTCCAACTCTACAGTCACTATTTCTTAGGGAACAGCCCAGCTTGCTTTAGTTGCATTAAACACCTTTCAATACTCCCACAGGCAAGTTCTGTCTAATACCCGCCTAAGCATATAAAATCCAAAGAGGAGCTTCTATAAAATGACGTATGAAAGGCCAGCAATTTGGACAAATTAGATCACGTAGTATATAATTCCTTAGGAAGAAATCACCCCTTCACTTATTTTTTGAAACTAATTTTTGCGTCTTACATTTTAAAATACCTAATCATTTAAGCCACCTGAGCTTAATACTGCATAGCTTATCTCTGGTGACCTTTATTATTCAGTGTCTCCCAGTGGAAAATGTACAAATGGTAGGAAGTGATCTTAAAGGTCCCATCTCTTCTCCAGCCCACAGAGCACTCTCTCACATTAATGCAGCATGTCTTTTTCTCTCCATCTCTCCTTTGAAAATAATTGCCTTGAAAGAATTCTCAGTGCTTCTCCAGCCTCTGCTTTCTCACCTCCATCAGTTCTTCAGCTGCTGTGACCCACCTTTCATCCTTCCACACAAGATGACGTGACTGTCGACCACTGCTTCTTTACACCTACTTCCTTTCTAGGTCCCCAGAGGAGCCCTCTCCTGTGCTGTCCTGGGCTTGGCGCTCTGTCCCTCAGCACCCTTCCTGTGCTCATCTTCTCTCGGGTCCACCTCTCACTTTCTGCCTGGGTGATCCCATCATGCTCATGGCTTCACCTGCCTCCTCTGGGTCTCTGATGCTTTGCTCTAGTCATGGTGGTGTTCTAGCAGCCATGGCGCCCTGCCCATTTCCACTGGACATACCTTCATCAACGGGTCATGCTTTTCCCTATAAAGGGGTGGACAGTTCATGTGTCAGACTTTCAGGACCAGAGTTCCGTGTCTAGCTCCCCAGTAACTTAGGAGGATCCAGCAGGCAATGTGTAAATCAGTGAACTTGGCTTGGTTCCAAAATATGTTACAAAAACAGGCCCCATGGGCCACACTTCCCTGACCCCTGCCTTGAACTACCACCCTTTCCTGTGCACCTTCCAGTCCCTGCAGCCATTGCTCTTTCTTGAATTGGTACAGCTCCACTGTATTCCTCAAGCCAGAGTTGGCCAAGTCTGCTTTCTGTATTTCCAACCACCAAGCCTCTTTTCTGTCCCACAAAAGCTACGTTTTTACTGTTCTCATCATTGTCTCTAGGTTAGTGTGGCATTATCCTTCTTGTAGACTTCCAGCTCCCTGTGTTTTAGCTGGATTTATGGCTGCTTATGGGGGGACTACATTTCCCAGACTCCCTTGCAAGTAGGAAACAAATCTACTTTTACAAGGGTTAATGCAGGAATAGTGACAGTAATAGAAGAGCTCCTTAGCATTGAATGGTCAGGGAGGCTTATGTGGAGGTGGCAGGAAAGAGCCAGGTGTGCGATGAACAGGGAGAACGAGTTCCCAGTGTGCAAAGGCCTCCAGACTTGCCTTGTTCCAAAAAACAAGAGGGAGAAGAGCACAACCAGAACTTTTATAATTCTTTTATAAGTTCTCACTGCAGAAGAGATCAAATTCACTTGGAAAGACTAGCCGTAACCTCAGGACTACTGGGTGTTGTTGGACAGGTGGTTCCCTGCCCACGACACTACTGTGAGTGGATTAAGCTGAATAACTGCAGAGTGAGCTCGGCTCAGAGCACCACGCACCCCAGGGGCTCCCAGGTCTAAAGCACACAAAGCCATGTCTCTGCTCCCTGAATCAGCACAAGAGGCCATGTGGTGGGTGCTGGAGCAATCTATGATCTAATGTGGACATGTGGTAGGTGCTGAGTCCCACCCTTCACAGACTCTAGTCACTGACAGCTTCTTGCCTTGACATTTCCCTAGTCCGTAAACCCACACTCCAGAACACAAACTTCTGCAACTATTCTACTTGGCAAGTTTGCCTCTGCCAGGCACGGTGGGGCAAGCCTGTAATCCCAGCACTCTGAGGCTGAGGCAGGAGGATTGCAAATTTGAGCCTAGTCTAGGCAATATAGCAACTTAGCAAGAAGATGTAGCTCATTGCAAAGACCTAGGGTTTAATTCCCCTTACTGGTAAATAAGTAAATAACCTGCCTCTCTAACCCTTAATCTGGCAAATTAGCTGACTTGTCCTGCATGTTTAACAGCCCAGAGTAGAATCAGGGGACACCAGTGAGCCTAAGATCATCCCCTAAGCTCCTCCTGGTTAAAGGTCCTGCCTCTTGGTGTCTCCTTAGGCCTCAGGTTACCAGGGAGCAGGCAGAGACTGCAAGGCACCAGTGGCATCTTGTGGGATTTCCAAAATTCAATCCCTTTTGTTCACACTGAACACCTAATACCCTCCAGCCCCAACCTCACCATCACAGCTCATTGCCACCTGAATCCATCCAAATGCATCACCAGAAAATACTTCTGTACCAAAATGCAATGTTTGATACAGAATCAAGTTATTTTCAATTTCTTTCACTTGTCACTTAGATGTTTTTTCTCTGATATAATTAAACTTCATTGTCATTTCAGTTGAATTTAAAATAGAATCAGTGCTCTAAAATAGATTCTAAGTCACACTGTGAGCATACGTTAGGCAGACTTTATTAATCATTATTCAGTTGGTGCTGGTAGTACCTCCTGGTGATGGCAGGGTGTTCCCAAAGGCTGGCGAGGTGGCTCAGCTCCCCAGGGGTGACACCCTCTGCATCCCTTAGGCACTCAGCTCACACTGTATACAGGTCTTACACACACACACACACACACACACACACACACACACACACAAATACTCTTTGTAATCCTCAGAGTGTTGTTTTGCATTTGCTACACCACCTAAAAAACTTGGGCTCACAAGACCTAAGCATCCTTTGGATTAACTAAACACGTAAGCCACCAAATGGGGGCCCCAAGAGATACAAGGAACCCCAAGATAGCCCTGGGCTCCAAGCAACACCACCATCCCCCCACCCCCACCCCAGAATGCCTCTGCCACTCCTTGGTGTATCCCAGATGTGGACAAAGAAGGCTGTTCCCATGCAAGACCCGGTTACAGAGTAAGCGCGTTATGGTTGGAAAATGCAAAACAGCCCTAAACCTGAGAGTACTATGTAGCACAGGTACAGTTGTAACCACTTTTCTCCTCCTCCTCCTTCTCCTCCCTCTTCTCCTTCTTTTCCTCCTTTTTCCACTTCTCTTTGTCCTCCTCCTGCTGTTCCTTTCTCCTCCTTCACTTAATCCTTCTCCTCCTCCTCCTCCTTCTCCTCCTCCTACTCCTGTTCCTCCGGCTTCTCCTCCTTCTGCTTCTTATTTTCCTTCTCCTCCTTCTCCTTCTGCACCTCCTCCCACTCCTCCTCCACCTCCTCCTTCTCTTCCTCCTTTTCCTTCTCTTCCTCCTTTTCCTTCTCCCCCTCCTCCTTTTACTTCTCCTCCTCCTGCTTCTCCTTCTCCTGCTTCTCCTTCTTCTCCGCCTTCTCGTCCTCCTTTTTCTTCTTCTACTTCTTCTTCTTTTTTCTTTTCTCTTTGGTAATGCTGGGGATCAATCACAGGGCCTCACACATGTTAGCCAGGTGCTACACCACTGAGCTATGCCCCCACCCCGGTGGCAGATTCTGATACAGTCAAGAGAGCTTTCTGTTTTGCTCACAGTGGCTGCCCGACTCTTGGAAGATGTCACATGTCCTTAATCTGTGTATGTTGATTTTCTGCTGTGGGACACCCTGCCCACCCCTTCAGAGAAGGAACTGCAGAGCCCTTTAAAGAGTGACTTCCCCTGCTTGGACTCTCTTTCCTTGTGCAGAGTCACAGGCAGGTTTATGGGCAAAGGGCATCCCTTGTCTCTAACTGGTGGTTCTGTCCTGAAGGGAACTTTGCAGCAGACCCAGGAGTGCAAACAAAGAAGCATGGGTGGAGGAATTCCATTTCCACACTAGAGGGGCAGGTTCCAGTGCTGTGCCCACCAGCAGCTCTGGCCAGGGCTCTGGGGTATCCTGGCTGCAAGCCCACTGCTGGTGCCCTAACCCTGACTGGTGTGAATAGAGCAGGCAGCCTGCATGAGCTGAGCTTTTGCTGCCAGCCCCAAGTCCTTGCTGGAGCCAAGCTCTGCAAGAGCTGAGGCACCTTAGCCATGGGCCAGCGGCCCTATGCTGAGGCCATCTGTGTGCCTGAAGGCCCGGTCAGCCACATGCAGCTGGTAGCTTCCAGCATCAAGGGCAGCATGGCTCCCATGCAGTGCCCCAGACCACCAAGGCTGAGAGCTCTTCTCCAAGGCCCAGGGCCCCTGCAAAGCCCTGGACAGCAACGCGGCTGAGAGAAGGTGAAGGGTCCCTGCAGGTGACTCACCTACTCTTCCCCACATGGAGACACTTCTTACAACTGTGGTGACCGCATCAGCCCCAGCATGCATTTGAGTTGCACTTGGGGATTCTGTGTCGAGGTAGAGTGGATGAGGTAGGTTGGGACATCAGTTTAACCCTGTGTCATGTAAGAGCCGCAGAGGATGCTCTAAAACGCTGATGCCCTGGCCCTGCAGCAGACCGTTTAAATAGTTCCTCTGTGGTGGCATGCCAGGAATGTGGGCTTTAAAATCTCTTTCAAGCTGGGCGTAGTGGGGCAAATCTGTAATTCCAGCACTCAGGGAGACTGAGGCAAGAGCATTAAAAATTCAAGCCCAGCTTGAGCAGTTTAAAATTTTTTAATTTAAAAACATTTAAAAGAGTGGGGCGGTGGGCACTGAACGTGTAGTTTAGTGCAAAGGCTGTGGATACGAACCATAATACCCTCTAAAATTTTCTTGCAAACCAAGGCCGAGAAGCCCTGTGGGGTGGCA